CCCAAAAAAAAAAAAAAAAAAAAAAGAAGAAGCAATGCTTTAAGCATTCTACATTCTAATACAATATTTATAAGGTATATCTAGGTGCCATATTGTGATTTAGGAAATCGGTAGGTTTTCGGTTCACTTGCTAGTCCTTATCATTTTTCTTATTTAAAATAATGGAAAATAGGTTTTCCTTAGAGTATTCACAGAGATAATCTGACATCTAAGGCACAGGATACTGACATTAATGGCAGAGGACTTTACAGTCTGTCTTAGTTTTAGATTTGTAAATACCTTCCAAATTACTTAAGTTCTGTTCTTCCAGATCTTATAGTAAAACTGATGCTCCATAAGGTTGTACTACAAATATTCTGCTGTTTTGCGTCCTCTCTGCATAGAACTGGGGCTGTGCCTACTCCAGTTTGAGAAGCACGCAGTAGTACGGCACTTGGAGTTGATCAGAAAACTTAGATGGAAAAACGCATCATCACTATAACCTCCAATTGCAAGAAATTATTAAAATCGGTTCCAAAAGGATATCTTTAAAAGCATCTTGAAAGTGGTTCTGAAGGAGTCTTAAGGAGTCCTATTAAAGGTATTACGTATTACCTTTAGACACAAACTTCCTTAACAATTTGGGAAGGAGCAACCTGGGGCCTAGAGGAAGGATTCTGGCAAGATAACTAATTTCAGGTAGGGTACCTTGCAGGTAACCATCAGCAAGCTTCTGCGTAGGCCCCCCAGAAGCCTAGGCCCGCTCCCAGCACGAGACCCGCCCCTACCCGGGACCGCCTCAACACGGGCGGCGTGCCTGCACTGCGCATGCCCGCGGGGGAAGGGGCGGGGCGAGCCGAAGCCTGGCAGGAGCTGCGTGGGGAAGATCACGGCCATGCTGTGTCGGCTGCGAGAGGTGCCCCGGCACTTGCTGGTCTGCGAAAAGTCCAACTTCGGCCATGAGAAGTCGCGCCACCGGCACCTCGTGGAGACGCACTATCACAACTACAGGGTGAGTCCACATCCCGGGCCCGCGGACCTCACACCATCCCGCCGGCGGTGGAGGCTTGGGGAGGGCCGCGCTCTGCTCCCCCGCCGTCGGCGCGTGGAGGGCCGGGAACTGTAGTCTCTAGCCGCTCCAGGCCTGTGGTTTGCCCCTCATCAGAACTACAAGTCCCAAGATGCACCGGCGCGGGGCGGTGTTCCGCCTTCGGAGGGAGAAGCAGGTTGGCGTGCGCCTGACAGAGTTGGCCGCGCCTCTGGCCACTTACTCCGGCCCTGCCCCGCTGCGGGTGGGGTGCGTCCCGGGAGGGGCGAGGCCGGGACCAGGCAATGGAGGGTGTGCCCCGCAGCCCGGGACGGACCCGCCCCTTCCCCACCCCGGCTTCCTTCCCCCGCCGCGCGCCGGCGGGTCTTTGCAGAGCCTCGTGCGGAGTCCGGGGAGCTGCTTGCCCTTCTGA